GTACTTGGCCTTGTTGAACCTCATGAGGTTCACATGGGCCCACTTCTCCAGCTTGTCCAGGTCCCTCTGGATGGCATCCCGTCCCTCTGGTGTGTCAACTGCATCACTCGGCCTCCTCAAGGGTTAAAGTACCCTTGCTGTACAGTTCCTCTTGGCTCCTGAGCCACAAGGGTGGAGATGGGTGAAAGCTTCATTCCAGGTTTCACCTGGCATCGCACTTGGCTTATCACCCTTGAGCCAAATTCTGCCAAACCCTGGTTTCCTAACAGGGACTTCAACTCAAATCCAAGTCCCCTTATCATTTTTAAAGGTGCTACTCTAATTTCCAAGCATCCTGTATTGATTGTGCTTTAAACCCAGGTATGTTTGTATAACTGTAGGTTAATGTGATTTTATAACAGTACATTTCTACTGCAGATAATGAAAATCACTTGCAATCTGACACGCTTTGAGGTCCAAACATGTCTGTTATACCATTACACAATACTCCCAAGAACATTGTTTTCCTCTGGTTCACAAAAGTTGTAATAGGGCCGTTAGTCCTTCTACCACTTTTCAGTGTGGTTTCAAAACCAGCTAACAAATTTCCTGGTGCCAAATATTTCTTCTCCTATTTGCACTTACTGTTCTTCTAAAGAAAAGCTGCAAATAAATGTAAAACATATGATTAATCTTTACCCTACTTAGTAATGCATCACTGCTAGGATATTGCAGCAGCAAGTACTGGTATTTTTCCACCATACATCATCTTTTCTCCAAAAAGAGCAGAGGAATAACATCATTATTCTTTAAATTTGGCTTCAAAATAAAAAAAATAAATAAAGGAGGCACTGGTCACAATTTATACGAGATAAGGTAGCCCTGCTAGTCTGTGTTCCATCCTGCCAGTTACTATGGTCACATAGGGTTGAATTTGAACTCAATTTTCCCAAGAACCATAGGGTTTGGGTTTTTTTTAAACCAATTTTCTACAAAAACCAGAAGGTCACAAAAAAATTGCTTATTTTCTGTAATCTAAGGTCAATTTCTTTACATGTGGTAGGGATTGATGGGGGCAGGGGAGAGGTTTTTGAGTGCTCAAAATTGCTAATAGTATTTCTAAGCTAAAACACCTAATTAAATTATACACTTATAAAAGAGGCTATCACTCTAGACCAGAAAGAATTCTCTCTGAAATCAATATCCATCATTTTTATGGCCAGACAAAATTCTCATTATTAAATATACTGTAATAACAATTGTATTAAATTTCTCTTATGTGATACGCAATCCATTTGCTTCAGAAGGGACTGAATTTTTGTGACCTTTTAACTTGTACTAAGCTCTTAATTCTCAAAATCTGCTTTTATAGCATTTGAGAAGTGAAAAAGTTATTTTCCAAATTGAAGATTTTACTGTTAGATTGCTTTTTCTGTAGCAAATGATTATTATAAATTAAGAAAAAAAATACTAACCTGGATTTTTCCTGGTCTGGTCATTATGCACCAGGGATTATTTTTGCTCATTGCATTTTTAAGGAAAGATTTTTGTCAAAATTACTTATCCTATAATAACAGAACAGAGGAACCATTTATTCTGTTTCTTCTTGCACCTGACCTCTCTGTCCATTTAAAAAAAAAAAATCCATGCAGAATTTGGATCTTTCACAAAAAAAAAAGACTGAAATGCTTATAAGTAAGTGTTTTAAACAGCATTTGAGGGTTTAAATTGATAGGGTTATACACACACAAAAAAAGCCATCGAAAAGAACAAAATAATGATTTCTGGATAGGTTTCTGTTCCTCTGTGGAACTGCAAAGAATAATCAAGTAACATTCTACTGAGTATGTACCTTCACCAGGATTTTAATGACCACATGTGAATCCCATGAGATACAAACGCATTCCAAGCCTGTCTGTAGAATATTGCTTTTATCAGGGAATTTTATTTCTTCTACACATGATGGTTGCCACTGGACTTTTTTTTTCTCTGGGGTTCATCAAAGTTGGGAGATAAAAGTCCATGCAAAAGAATGTGGACACAGTTGTGGGGGTTTTTTTTATAAAGAATGCAGGAAACTGGCAGATGTCCCCTTGGTATCTTCAGGTTTATATGAGAGGCATAGTCAAGACCTTGGACGCAGAACAAGGAGGGCTGCTTCAGAATGGTATAAGGGGAAGGCTAGAGCATAGGAAGAGAAGAGCCGAGTATGATGTTATATGGAGATATTTTATGAAAATAACTGAGGAGTTTAGTTCAATTACCTGAAATGCTACAGATCTTAGGGTGAACCATAGAAGGGAAAGTGCTGCCTACCAGTTCTGGGAAGGGATCTGAGGAGTTTTTATTTTTAAGCAGTGTGTGTGTGTTTGATTTGGTTTTTTTTCCTGATAGTAATGGCTTAAGCAGAAAGAAACTGGACCCTGAGACCTAGCCTAGATGCTTTGCTTACTAATGTAATAAAAATTAGCTTTTGACTGAAAAAATAATGTTATTTTTCTTAACTGGATAAAAAGCACCCGAGTGTCTTGAAGTCTAAATCTGTTTAGAGATAGGTGTAATGTAGTGTCAAGCCATTTGTAAGATTTTACACATTAAGGATTTTAATGAGTTGTATAGTTATTTTGTAAACACAAATGTGGTGGAAATAAATCGTTGATTAACTAAAGGAATGGGATACTCCAAACCTAGTTGGAGATCTGTGTAAACGAATATGTCAATTTGGTTCAGATAATAAAAGATCATGTTAGTAGAGTGAGTTGGGATTTTTTTCTCTTTCTCCAACATGATGCCTTCTTATGCCAGGTAATCATCTTGCTCTAGCAAAGAATCTGTACGGTTGAAAGACTCAAAAATTGCTAACAAGGTTTACTCATTAAAATACTAATAATTAAAACGCAAGAGGTAGAGGTATTTTTTAAATAAACCTTCAGCTCTTTCCAGCAGATTTAGTGCAGCTGGTCAGAGCTAAGCCTAGGAAAATTAAAAGGTATTAGTTTAGCCTTATTTTTTCCCAAACTAACCTGAGGGTCAGAATTTTTGTCATGGCATGATCTATTCCCTTCCCATTTGAAATTTTTTGGCCAAAAAGCTATCGTGGCCATAGGTCTCAAAGGAAGCTATTTTGTAAAGCAGGTTCACGCTTTGAAATCTATCCAACATGGTACTGGGTGCACTTTTCCCATTTCAAAGTCCCTGTCCGCTCTCAGATCAGCTGGGGTGCTGTATACAATGCTGGACGCGAATCCTCCGCTGCCAAAAGTGTCCCTTTATCTCCTGCGTCTGAAGATGCTGAAGCTTTCCTACTTGACAGGGCTCGAAATGACCGTGTGAATAGATCCCATCTCTTCCTCAGTGCAGGTTAGGGACGAGGGACACCACCGCCCAGAGTCAAGTCGAGGTTCCTATGGGGTCTCTGCACAGAGCCAAATGGGGAGGAGGAGAAGATGAAGTAAAAGTGTTTATGCCTGTATTTCAACTCCAGTGTTTCCTTTTTTTTTTCCCCTCAGGTGGTGTGAAAATGATAATGGGTGAGCCCAGGACTTCCTCGCTGCAAGGTAAGTGTGTGAGAATTTGCTACTCGTGGTACTTTACTGAGGTCCCGTTGCTCACCAGCTACCCAAACGGAGTAGCGGTGGAAATATTTTGTGAAAAGATGCTTCTTGATCCTAGCGGATTTGAGTCATGGTCTGGCTGCGTGGTTGCTTGGCATGACATCAGCAGAGAAATAGCTTGTGTTTGAACTGATTGAACTTCCAATCTCACCTGCTCCCCCAAAATAGTATGTGGTTGTTCAGTGGCTTGGGAGAAGGCATGTGGCCTTCTAACACTGCAATGGTCATAGTTTTATGAGGGAATGTGGTGTTCTGGCAACGAAATGCAATCTTTAGTATTTTATACACATATTTCTATGTCTACATGGATCTAATGCCATGTTTACGTTAGTGTTTTATAGAGAGTAGCTTCTGAAACTAAGAAAATTAATTGTAACTGGTACTGTTAATATTTTTAGAAAAGTTAAATATGGATGCTGACTGAATCAGTGCATGCTTCAATGTAACACAACACAAGCCCTATAATTCAAAGAGATGTACAAAACCTGACACCATAATTGCTCCAGTGAAGTCAACCTCTGTGCATCTCTTAAGGCAGAAACTATCAGATACTTGGAAATGCTTCCACTGTGAAGCCACGGGCAATTTTAACTTCAGACTTTTCCAGTATTTGCAGCTTTTCTTCAGAAGAACAATAAGTGCAAATAGGAGAAGAAATATTTGGCACCAGGAAATTTGTTAGCTGGTTTTGAAACCACACTGAAAAGTGGTAGAAGGACTAACGGCCCTTATTACAGCTTGGAATTTTCCTCTAATCTTCACAAAGGCACAAGGCACAGAGACAGTCTGCCATGAAAAATGACTTTATTACAGCTTGGAATTTTCCTCTAATCTTCACAAAGGCACAGTGCACAGAGACAGTCTGCCATGAAAAATGACTTCTGAGCTATTCCCAACCCTCCAAAAGAGATAAACACATCAGATTAGGCAGATTTTAATTACGTTAATCACCTACCACATTGGCATTTTCTTAAGGATAAAAAATACTGTAACATGATTAATTTTAGATTTTCTGAGATAGAATCATTGCAGAAATTGCATAGACCTGAGACACAGGATATTTCGTTGTCTCCATACTCAGGTGGCTGAAAGGCCATTCTTTAAAATTCACAGATTGTGAGGCAATACAGGTCGCATTTTTTGTCATTCCAGCTCCCATCAGTGTACATCTCTACACATTTTTCTGTCCCTTTGCCATTAGGCTCATATTGGTGCCACTTGGTATAATTCAGAGGTGCACCATTTATATACTTAAATTGACCTGAATTCTCGCCCTCTTTAATGCCCAAGTAAGCATATCGGTTATACTGTTTCACAATACCCAAAATAGCGTTATTCTCCTCCTCATTCATGGGAGTTGCAAGAGTTCCTCCAGCCTCTTCACAGGATTCTAGTGCAGATGCAAAGTCAACTTCCTTCCCATTGCTGGCAAGTATTTTATCTCCTACTTCTCTTATTTTCCCATTCAAAGCAAGCACTAAAACATGAAAAGAAAAAACCTAGTTAGCTTTTTTACTTTCCTATGGCATAGTGATGAGAAAGCAAAGAAAGAGAAATCAAGAGATGAAGAGAAAATTAAAAGTGGTGAGAGGAACAGAGGAGGGAATAGAGGGCAAGAATGAGAGTAAAAGATGAGGAGGAGTAAAGATCTTCAAAATGTTACCAATACACAAGTCGTTCGCTAAGTATATCGTTATGCTGCTTGTGACCATCTGTCATTGTCTTCTCCAAGACAAGGATGCCCCGCTAACATTTGCTACGTACTCTATCAGCCCTATCATTATATTGTGTGTACTGTCTGAAGAGGATCAATTTGCTTCAAATTTGAGCAAGTGAAACAGAAATGATAATTTTTGTGAATTCCTTCTCAGTGAAAAACAATTTACCGCCTTTAACAATCTGGTTGCTGATAGATAAAACTGCCAGCCATGTGGTACAAGGCTGAGGCGTTCCCATAAATCCATGTGGAATGTACAACATCAGTTGGAATATTTTTTTTTCATAAGTTAAACTTGAATAAACGCGCATTGGTGTTCCTGAGAGAAATCTGCTTCTCCTGGGAAAATGAGTCCTGATCGCCCGTGCTTTGGATGAGAAAATGGACTTTTGGGATGTAGTACCATTTTTCAAGTGCTATTTCTTTCCTGCAAGTCATGATTCTGGAATTAATTTTGCCTATTGCACTTAAAACTGATTGGGAGCCAAAAAAGTTAAAATGGGAAAAATTACCGCCTTCAAGTCTGGAAAGTCGGTGCTTCAAATTTACTAAAACATTGTGGAGTTCAGCGTCCAGAGAATCAGGTAGATCTACACAGATACAAATAAAAGTTATACAATTGAGCAAAACTAGGCTCTGCTGATAGAAACAATTCATTGGATAAAACCAATCATTTTCCAAAACTAACTAGGACAAAATGTAATTTTTTAACGTCATCTGGCATAAAATAAGTATTTTCCCAGTATTTTTTCACACCGTTGTTAACCTATATTACAGCAAACAAACCAACCCCTCCAACCCTCTGAAATGCTGATAATTCCCCTCTGCACAGAAGAAAATGATTTTTTCTCGGTTGAAGCCTTATGTTTGTCATGTCTGTGAAAGTGGCTTGGCCAAAGAGAATTTGTTTCATTCGAATAATCGTTAGTGAACAGGCACAAGGGAGATTTTGGGGTGGGAACAGTTCCTGCGGCACCATACCATTTTCTTTTTAATCTGCTGGGTGGATGCTTTGTGTTTCTACAGTGGGATCTTATGTTAATGGAAATCACAGACACTGGTATGGGAGGGTTACTGCATAGATTGTGTGAAATACAGTCCATCCAGCACTGCTTGCTAAAGGTGGGAACTCGCTGTAAAGGTAGGTACTTTTCTCATACAAATTTCCATGGGTAACAAAGGTCCTACACGTAGGATAAAGTTACTAGCGTGCTCCCACGATCGTGTTCCCATTGTTGACAACTAAACCAAATGGCAATGTAGAAGCACAAAATATTGCTGCATCTCCCTCTCTCCGAGTTGCAATGTTGCAACTCTTGCTGCACTTCACAGTCAGTAAAAACCCAACATATTTGACCCAATAAAGAGAGAGTCCATTTGACTGACAGACCATTACATGGACATCAGCCTCTTTCTCCTTTCTCACCTTGCAGCCAAGGAAGATCATCTCTTCCACGAGGCCACATCAAGCTTCCAGAGGGTCCCATGAGACCTGGAAAAGAGAAGCATAATTTTCTTTCCAATTGATGCATATTCTGGGGACTTCAGGATGAAATAGAACTTAATCCCAAACCGAAATGTGTTGCACGTATGAAGAATTTTGATAGCGCTTTAGCCTTGGTAATGGCCCTGGAGAAAGCATTTCTACATAGAAAGAAAATTACACAGTGCAAAGTGTGTTCCTTACCAGGCTACTTTTGCACATACTATCTTTGAATACTAGAGAAACATGCCAGAGGCCTTTTAATTACACTTGTAAATACTGGAATAACATTTCTTTTTTTTTTTAAAGTATGAAGAAAAAAGCTTCTGCTGTGAAAGCAGCAATTCCCTTTGGAAAGTCAACAGAAAAGCACTACAAAGATATGTATCTTTATATATATTATAAGTTTTAAGTATTGATAACTTGTTCATTTCCCCTCTTCTCCCAGAAGAGAGAGGAAGCCTATGTTTTAGAAAAAAATATTAAATGGACCATTTCCTCCATTCAGTTTTCCCTCTTCTGCTTAACGCAGCTGCTTCCTTGAGGGCACATCTCCTTCTGTGTTAACCGTGTTTATTCATGCAGCGTTCATGACAAGGATTTGTTGCAAAAAAAGGAAGTTTACTTACGTGGTAGACGTGGCTGTCCTTTCAGACCATCTTTTCCAGGCAGTCCAGGGACACTGGGTAGCTCAGGAATTCCTGGACATTTACACAGTGCATGGCAAGTCACTAGCAAAGCAGCTACTGCTGTGAGCATGTAGGATGAGTGAGACAACATGATTGCTCAGGCCAGCTGCAAGAAAACCCACAGGTTTGTCAGGCAATGATTCTGTAAGAAATTGTAGGCATTGGCTTATAGAATTGAACACCTCTTTTTTTTTTCCTTCTGTTCATCCCTTCTTCAATTTACATTCTTTCCTTGTTTGAATAAAGTCTATAGTTTAGGTATAAGAGATCTCCCAGATTTACTTTGCTACCATGGCATAGCTTATACACAAAACTGTTTCTAGACTGATACAGATTGGTGTGCTCATTACAGAATGACAGCTACACATTTGGGAGTAGTGAAGACAAATCATCCTTTCTGCTGTCACTGACTAGTTGTTGGATTAATCCTTGAGAAATGATGGGCTCAGAGGTAACAACCGATCACCCCTAAGCCATTGGTTGCCTGTAAGGGCTATAATCACTCAATGAAACATGGATGCATGTGCTGCCAACCTGAAAGGCACAATCTGTTACAGCGGTGGTTGTGAGGGTTTGGAGCTAGTTAGCAATCTCTTTAAGCACAGTACTATTTAAGCACATTTATTTGAAATAAGCAGACTGGTATTTTATAGCTCAATTGACATTCCTAGCTTGTTTTGAACAAAATTCCACAAGCTTGAAAATGTCAGAGTTAGTCTTGTAGAAAGTGCATTTTTGCTGGTTGGCAATAGGCCTATTCATCTTATTTTATCCTTTCAGATATAACATTAAGTAGGGTTATAATCTCAGTGCTGAGATATCATGACCAAAAAGCACTCTGAAACTATAGATCATGGGTTTATGACGCAGCTAGTGGGTGTGCAGCATTGGCAACGCTGTGCGGTTATAAAACCTGAACTGATGGACTGTAGGATGCTGTGGCATGGAGATATCCCGTTATTGGCATCAGTCAGTTAAAATAATAAGAGAGCTAAAGAAAGGTTCAAGGTTCGAGATGCCAGAAGGGGTATCTCTTGCTAATGAGATGACCCCGGTGGGTTGACTCTCATACGAAAGGTATCACTTAATACCCATGACTTAACTTTTCTTTTGGCACGAATTAGAGAGGATCATGTATTACACTCTCTTAAAAACTTCCATCCTTAAAAAACCCTCAGAATTGACAAGATCATTTTAATTGACACGCAATATGTTCTAAATCCAGCTCTGCTTACAGTTGAGAATAAAATCTTGGTTGGCTTGAATGCTGCGAGATTATTAACACCTGGGTTCATCAGGGGTTAAAACAAGGAATTTGTTTCAAAGCATACATGCCAAGCAGAATCAAAATATCAGTTTATTATTACCATTTATTAAAACGGGTACGCTAAAACCGGACTGAGCTTTTAAAAAAAGGAAGTATTGTTTGCATCTTCCAGACTGACTCTATCGTAGAAGGCTTTTGACGTTATTCTAAATCTGCATCAATACCAACTATTTTTAAGGGCAAAGCTCCCTTGTTTTTCTAGAGGAATGTCTCATCAAAATCAGTTCAGTGGGACATACCCTGGAACGTAAGAACATTCAATTATATCATACATTTCAGTGTTTCGCTGCATATAGAGTCTGTTTAAGTAATAGCAGCGTCTATTCCTCATGGTCAAGAACTTCCACTTGTTTTAACGAGTGCAAATTTCAAATCCACCTGAGAACACACGTGCTGTATTAAAAGTGCTGTTGAGTTTGGTGTGTTGAATCTGAAGTGTCCCAAGCTGTTTACCCTTCGCTATATTGAAGGCTAGCAGACACCTCTGACAACGCTGGCCAATGACTCAGAGCGCGCGTTATTAAAGTCTCTAACAGAAACCTACCTTAGGTGGCTAGGAATACTTACGTCCCCGAGATAAGGAAATGCAATTACAACAGGTACTCTTCGTCTGGTGCTGATCATTCAGGGAGTTGCATTTGAATGGACTACTGCATCCAGCTCATAATTGGATTATGATGCAGAGTCAGAGTCCTGATCAGTTATATAGCAAAATGGAAAAAAGAGCTCTTCAGTTTTAATCCAGTTTTAATGACCTTCATCAGTCATTACTATCTAGTGTCCTTCAGGCATCTCCTCATCTACTAAAATTGCTAATACAAGCAAAGTAAAAAAATACTAATAAGGGAAAATTTAATTTTAAAATGTAAATACGACCACGGAAATGAAAAGGAACAGGTCTGCCTTCTAGCTGAAGTTCCTTGTGATTTATTAAAAGGAAATTCAACTTACCCTTCTGCTTCAAAGCGAAATGAAAGAGCAGTTCACACAAGTCCCCTTTATATAGAGTCGTGTTTGTTAAATGACACCGCTGAAGTGGAGACTGGATAATGAGGGCACGAATGAGCCTTTTCAGTTTTGCTTACACACTCGTTACGCAAATGCTGAGAACAATTTTAAGGATTGAGAAATTTCTTTTTCTTTCATAAGAACAGAAAGCCAAAGTTGGAGAAAAAACAATCTAGAACTAAGAGATAACTCCAGATTTGTAGACATGTACGAAACGTATAAATATTTCAAGAAACTTTCTGTGATTCTGATACTGTAACATTTTTTTTGTTTAAAAAAGCAAAAAATGGCATATGACCACCAGTGGCTTTTGTAGAAGGAAAGGTGCTCTAGTTAATTAGGGAAGCACGTTACCTTCCAGGTAGAGTCTGACCTGATAATCAGAATTCTAAACTTTGCTTCCCGTCTCCGTATCTGATGTACTTACCTTACCTTAATATCATTTTCTAGTTGTGTGTATGCTCAATGTTTCTGTGAGCATCTGGTCTCTTTTGCATGTCGAGTACAGCTGACCCTCACTTGGTCAAAGACGGATCCTGGAAAAATCTGTATACATGCACAAAATCCTCAAATGGGCAACGTTTTCAAGTAAAAAAGAAACCACAGGCCTTGGTCCTCTGGTTTCCCAGCAATAAAGGTTGGGATCTCGTGAATAACTTCCTCCTGGTTCTGATGCCTTCCGCTGTAAGGACACGTATGTTAGATCCTAGCTGAGGTTTGTTTTATGAACCCCAGCAAGCCAACACACCAGTCCCTCACCTGTAAGACACAAATACCTCCGCTTCACAGCTTCTCTCTGCTTTGCCAATTTACATTGTGGTCTCTTAAGGGTAGAACAGTTTCTACTTTTCATTTGCATTTTACTAAAACTACCCAAGTTTTGTCATGATCCCTAATTATAGTGTCTTTCTACCCAGCAGAATTCACAGCTGCAAGCTAACATCTTTAGGCTCCTTGTTCAACAAATAAAGAGACGTCTAATATCAACGGGCTGACCTAGCTAAGAGAAAATCCCAAAGGAGGAGGTATGTTTCGGATCCCCTTTAGAAGTAACTTAGTCACGTAAGTCCACTTCCATTCACAACTGTGAGCCAAGTCCTGCGGTTAAAAGTGCTCAGCATGGTCTGTCCTCCCAGACAAAAACCAAAACAGCAAACTGAGGAGATGATATCAGTGTCATTTCAGGGAAATGATCAATCAACACTCACAAATGTATGTTATAAACAATCTGTCTTCAAGTCCTTCCTCTAGCTGATACGCAGCAAAACTTGGAATGCGGGTTAGTCATTTTACAAAACCTCTAATCCCACCAGTTGAAACGTATTTCCTTCTGTAGTCCAAATGAGGTAGACGAAAAGAACCGGCGTTAGGTGTATAAGATGTGGATTAGATAGTACTCAGTGGGTAAAATACCTTGTTTCTAAATCCTGCTGCGGCTTGGGAATAGCACAGATACGAGGCGATTCAGCACAATCAAGACATGGTAATTCTGTTTCTGAATGGCGGCAGAGCTCTGGGGTACCTACAGCGCTAAGAAATTTCTGCAGCTGCAAGATAAGATGGAACTTAATGGATCCTGATTTTGGGAAGTAATATTTTAAATGATTAGGTGCCCGAGTTCTTGGGAATCTAACTTACCAGAACACAATCTCATACAGATCCAGTTTCTAGGCAACTCTGCAACAGTTGTAACGGCTAATACCGTTCTGTGGTATCGCTGCCCATATACGTCCTCCCCGCGCATATACATGCAACTTTCATACGTGAACAACGTGATAAATCTTTGCAGATTTGTACTGTTTCTTCCACCTAACACAGTTTATACTTTAAAAAAAAAAATTAATAAAGAATTGGAAACATTAATCGGGGAAGTCTGTAAAGCCCCGCCAGCTACACGCTATCTCTGTCCAGTCAGGAAAGCGTGGCATGAGCAAAACGTGGCTTATAACGGCTTAAGATGTAGAAAAACTTTATAATTTATTATCTTCTACCATAACTTTCAAAGAAACATACATTTGATAACAGTTCTTCTCCCATGAGTCAGATTATACTTACACAATGGAAGCTGATAAGAAACCTAAAACAATCCAACATGAGAGATTACTTAGTCATTAGATTTACTTTCCTTAGTTATGTGGCAGAGAATTAGGGAAAACAAATATACTAGAATAAGGAAGAAAGTAAATATTTTTTCTGCAACTTGGCACCCCTGTAGAATAGTTCCGAGGCTCTGTATTCTGAAATTTACAGGTAAACCTGTGTGGTAATGGCTGAAGATCTTTATCTGGGTAACGCCCACAAAACCCACCCAGGGAACTCGAGTGGTTTCAGTGCGCCCCAGATAACGACAGAAGGAAGGATGCAGTAAGTAGAACGATAAGATTCCTTCTGATGTCCCCCAATGCATTAGATATGCTGCATCGTTAATGCCAGTGAATTAAACCCAAATCCCACAATGGCCTGCTCAGCTATTAGCAAAGGAGAACTTGGGAAAAAAAAAAGGAATCTGATTTTCAAAAAGACGCCGTGTACCCAGAAAGACTGCTTCTTTGTACAGCAGCCGTGCACGCTACCCTCAAAAAAGTAATTTGAAAACTAGTAACTGCCAAGGTGGTTTCAAAACCAGAACCGATTTTATACAGCCTTCAAACCTCTAATTTTCAGAAAACAAGGTGAAGTCTCCATTTTGCTCAGCACGCTGTTTCGAAATGAGCTGATTACTAACAACCTTATCAGAGCCCAATCTGCATAAAGCT